AACTGATAAATGTAAAACACTTTATTTCAGCTCATTGCTTACGTTATCCTAAAATGAACAGATTTCAGCACGGAGTACAATGCTTACAGTATTTAAAGTTTTTCATTGTTTATATTAGGCAAAATATGAATCATAGTAGTGTGAAAAAGCAGAAAAGCTGACAAATTAATAATAAATACAATAATAATAAAAAATAATTATAATAATAGTTATGTATTTATAACTTTAATTTTTCTTCTCTTCTTCTTCTTCTTCTTATTATTATTATTATTGCTGTTGTTGTTGATATTATGTTAACCTGAATTGATACCAATAAATAGGTGGAAAAACAACAACAACAACAACATCAACATCAACAATAATAAATTAATATTATTATTATTATTGGTCCTGGATTTGTTCCTCTGCTTTGCTCATTTCAGATTAATTTAGGGCCACTTATTTAGCTTAATAATAATAAGAAGAAAAAGCAGAAGAAGAAGAAGAAGAAGAACAACAACAACAACAACAAAACAACGACAAAAAATATAATACAGAACTATTATTATTATTATTATTGTTATTATTATTATTATTGCTGTTGTTGTTGATGGTGTGTTACCCTAAATTGATACCAATGAGTAATGAATAAACAAGTGAATTGGGATAAAACAACAACAACAATAATAACAATAATAATAACAATAATAATAATAATAATAATAATAACAATGGCCACTGTTATTACTGTGTTTATTTTATTTATTCTTGACATGAATTTGATTCTGGCCATTTACACACCTAATTTCTAATCAGGACTTTTCTAATTAGCACAAACTTTTTGTCCTGGATGGCTAAAGTGCAATGTTTTTCTGTAAAGCTTTTACAATGGCTGTTGTAAAAAGCGCTATATAAATAAACTTTGACTTGACTTGGCTTTGAGGTGGGCAGAAGGCCAAAAAGACAAAACAACATGTAACTAAAGAAGCTAAGTAGGTTGAACACCCCCTAAGTCAAATTGTTTTGTTGATTTTCTAAGTGAAATAAGTGAACACATTCTCTACAGAGAACACACTTTAATATGGCATTTTTTCTGCAAATGTTAGTGTACAATTTCTATTTATTTGCTGAGTTTAAGACATTGAAAAACAAAATATAAAATGTGCCATAACTTTTGTACTGGTCATTTAATCCACCACTATGTTAAATTCAGCAAATAAACAGTAATTGTGCATTAAAAATGTTCTCTGTAGAGGATGTGTTAACTTATTTTCACTTAAAGTAACAAAAACGTTATTTGGCCAGGGGCGCTCAAACGTTTGCATACAACTGTATCCCAAAATTATATATATATATAAATATGTCTAATCTCTCATTGCACCCAATGTGGGGGTGGGGTTTGACCCACAGGCCTCACTTTGTTTGGGTTTACAGCAGCAAGTCTGCAGTTAAAATCAACATGCAATATCTAAAAGAAAAGCGCACACATACACACTGGACAAAACACTCCAGCCTACCTCTCTGCTGGCTTTCCCTTTCTTGTTTTGGAGCCTCTCAAAGAGATCCAGCTGAGAAACTGAGGACTAAATTGAAAGCAGCTGCTCTTAGAGCTCCCTGCGAGGCAGCTTCGTACACTGTCCCAATTATGGATATGATAGGGCCTGTAAACAGATCCTGTGCAGACGCTCTGCTTTGATATTGTAAAAGCTCAGATATGCTGAACAGAGCGTAAATGTCAGCTATGGCCTTTAGCGCAGTGGCTCCTCTCAGTGAACGGCAGTTTATGAAGTGATTAACTCTATTAGGACCTGCTATGTGGAAATAACTGGAGTCAATGGAGTGTTAAGCTGCGCTGCAGTGTATTGCTGTGTTGTTTTGAAGTTCATTAAAAAGGCTTTGAGCATTTCACATGTGATTTTTTTTTCTCTATATTGTGTGTAGAATATTTAGTCCTAGCTGTATTGCATGTTTATGTGGAGGCCATTGAATATGTCTTGCTGTTGATGTTCCTAGAGGCTGTTGTGTATGTAAGTGCCATCAGGGGGTGCTATTACAACAGGCTGGTAAAAACCAGGCCAGAACCCCACTTGTGGAAGTCTAATGACTGAGTCTGTTCTTTAGGTTCCCAATGGTTTTCAGTGAGAAATTGTAGTTATTAACTATGATATAAATGAGCTTTACTTGCAATTTCATTAACAAGTTTGCAATATGAAGAATTAAAAAAGTGCATTGAAGCAAAATGGCAGTTAGACCAAACAGTGGCTTAGAGAAATCGATCAACAACGCTGAAATCCTCTGTCCTTGGACTTATTCAGAGGCGTTCATTATGCTTGCAAAGCCACACAAGGGCAGGCCTGTCATTCAGCCTACGCTCGCTGGGCTGTTTTCCCCTGCAGGCTGGATTGAGATATCATGGGCAATTGGGTAATAAGAGACAATTCAGGAAACTCTTGTTTTTGGATTTAGGTAATATGGCCCATCGGGTCTCATGGGACACTTTAAGTAACTATTTTGATTAATTTTTATTTATTGTTCAGCTGGTTCTCACTATTTTGGCAGTTAAACAGTTTAAGCAGTCTACCTAAAAGACTCAGGTGGATTCAGGTATTATAGGACATTAGAAAATAAGGGACACTGGTGAACTCGTGCTTCTCATTGCATCTCATGGTTAGCAGTGTGTTTTTAACTGCTGTACAGCCGCCTCCAAATGTCCAGTGTAGGCTGCATTAGGTCTTATGGGACACTTTATAAAGACATGCAGGCATAAAACTAGCATTTAATATGTTATTTGTCATGTTGTGTGGTGTTGCATCCCTCAGCCTCATCAGTGTGATAGAATTATGATGACAATATGGCAAAACAACTGCTCTTTTCTCGAGATCTCCGGTTATTTATATCATTATCACAACATAAAGAACATTGTTCTGTCGAGATAACATTTGTTATGTTGTGATAATGGCATAAAAATCTTGAGAAACCCATTATCACGGAAAAACGGAGGAAAAAACATGCAAATCCATGGCCATCTAGGGCTTCCCTATAATCACGCCTTTGCACTACTTATTAATCACAGTGTTTCTTTACTGTGTGCTTTACCAGCTGTGCATCTTAATATACTGTAAAGCGTATCACAATCCCAGTATGTGTCAATAATCTCGACACTCTTAAAAGATGGTTCTTTAAGGGTTCTTTAGTAAGGACAACGCTTCCATTTAGAATAATGAGTTCTATATAGAACCATTTCATGCTTCAATGGTTTTTTGCATGGTGAAATTGTTCTTCAGATTGATGGAGAATGTGCTGAAGATGGTGCTATATAGGACCTTTTTGAAATGGGTTCTTCTGTTGTTATGATATCAGGCTTGAAACAATAGCAAATCCCTTTTTGGTGCTTTTTGGTGCTTTTTTGGTCCCCTTTCAAAAAGGTGCTATATATAACCATATAAAACACATTCTCCATCAATCTGAAGAACGCTTTCACAATGCAAGGAACCCTTTAATCATGCAAAATGTTATTTGATTGCTCATGGTTTTATATAGAACCATTTTCTTTACTAAAGAACCCATGAAGAAAATTCTAAAGGTTCTATATAAATAATATATATAAAAGGTTCTATATATATTATAATACTATATAAAAGGTTCTAAATAGTGCTAAAAAGGGTTCTGCTGTTGTTAGGATGTCAAGCTTGTAACAATAGAAGAATACTTTCTGGTGCTATGTACACTCTTAAAAAAGATCTTCAAGGGTTCTTAAGTGAAAATGGTGGTTCTATATAGCACCAGAAAGCGTTTTGCTAATGTTATAATATCAAGCTTGTAACAACAGAAGAACCCTTTCTGGTGCTATATACACTCTTGAAAAAAGTTCTTCAAGCATTTTTAGTAAAAGTGGTGATTCTATATAGAACCCATGAACACCCGTACAAACCAGATGCATGCTTAAACAGTTCTTTGCATGGTGAAATCATTCCTCAGATTGATTTAGAATGATTTGGGTTCTTGATAGAACCTTTTTGAAAATGGTTCTATATAGCACCAAAAAGGGTTCTGCCATTGTTACAATGTCAAACTCTGTAACAACAGAAGAACCCTTTCTAGTGCTCTTAAAAAATGGTTCTTCCAGAGTTCCTTAGTAAAGACAATGGTTTAATATAGAACCATGAACACTCAAAGGACCATGTACATGCTTAAATGGTTATTTGCATGGTGAAATGGTTCCTCAGATTGACGGAGAATGTGCTGGGTTCTATATGGAGCACCTAAACATATTCTTCTGTTACAAGCTTGACATCATAACAATTGAAAAATGCTTTTCGTGCCATTTTTCAGGAAGGTTCTTCGTATATAAAACCATACACAACACATTCTCCATCTTAACTATGTACCATGCAAAGAACCAATTAAGCACGAGGTGGTTTGATAACTCAGGTTCTGTCTTTACTAAAGACCTCTTAAAGAGCCATCTTTTTAAAAGTGTGTGGAGTGAAATTGTTCTTCAGATTGATGGAGAATGTGTTGGGTTGCATATAGAACCTTTCTGAAAATGGTTCTAAGTAGTGCTAAAAAGGGTTTTGCCATTGTTAGGATGGCAAGCTTGTAACAATAGAAGAACCCTCTCTGGTGCTTTGTGCATGAAGATAGTTCTTCAAGGGTCCTTTAGTTAAAATAGTAGTTCTATATAGATCCATAAACACTGAAAGAACCATATGCCTGCTTAAATAGTTTCATTTTCAGAAAGGTTCGACGTGTATAGAACCATATACTGCACTTTCTCCATCAATCTTAACTACCATGCAAAGAACCATTTAAGCACGAAGTGGTTCAATAACTCAGGTTCTGCCTTTACTAAAGAACCCTTGAAGAGCCATGTTCTTTCAGAGTTTAGGTCAGCGTGTGCGTGTATGACCATGTTTTAAGGTATGGAAGGTTAATTCGGAGAGAAATGGCTCGGTTTCTTTAACGTGATCCCTCCCTGAACTCCACTCCGCCTTTTCCTCCAGCCAGAGGGGGGAGGTGGTGGTGGAGGGGAGTCCCAAGTCCCATCCCAGCAGCGCCGGCCACCCAGTCCTGCTCAACTTCTCAGAGCTCAGAGAAAAGGGGGGGCAAAAACGAGCTCAGCGGATACGAGCCCAGCCACTCGCGTCTCCGTCAGCTTTTCCCGCAGCACGCCTGAGAGACGCCCCTACGGATATTCCCCTTCGGTAAATGAGGTCCCACCGCGCGTGGGACGGGGACACGACCTCTGCAAACTTCTGCTAAGCAGTCTTTTCTTCCTCCAAAGTGAGGGGACTTCGCTTTTCAGGACCCGTGCTGGGTGGCCAGGAGAAATGAGGTCGAGGATAGGTGGCCAGAAAGTCTTCGGACTTCTCATCTCTTTGATAGTGACCTCGTATCTCGTTCATGTAAGTAAGCCCCTTCTTCTTCTCCTCCTCCTCCTCCTCCTTCTCTCATGCGTTTTCAAGGCCACTTCATTGACATAGCTGGGCAGTGCATGGGTAGTGTGTGGCTTGAATACATGGAGAACCCCTCAGAGGTAACTTTGCCCAAACCTGTGGCTAGTTCTCCTTGAGTCCTTGAGCTAACTGCAGCTGCTGCTTTCCCTTTGAAAACTTTCCTCCTCTGGGTGGTAGTAGGGGGGAGTGGTGCTGTGGTTGAGCTCTGACCTACGCTGTGGTCAGTGGTCAATTCTTTGCACAGATTTGATAGTGAGGTGCTTGGTGTTATCAGACGCTCAGAATCCAGAGTTCAGCTTTGCTTAGAGAAAATCCCCACTTCATCCGAGTGTACTCGTCCTGATCTAATTTTATCCATAGAAACAAGCTATTCATAGGCAGTCTTCTTGGTCTCTGCATGCCTGCAAAACTTGATCAACTTTGGTTTCCCGGAGCAGTCTTGAGAGTGAACACCTGGAGGGAGCTCCTAGTGTTGAGCAGAAACTAAAGGGGCCCTAAAACTGCCCCTTAATACACGCCGCTGTGCTTCATGTCTTTTTACTTAATGCTTGCCTATTTTATTGTGGAAATTGTTAGTTCCCTTGGATGCTCATGCTAGATGCTGTAGTGTATCTGCTCAGCAGACAGAATTTTTTGGTGCAATGCAAATAATAATCATGAAAGGTGCAGATGTGTTCCGCATATTTTGGTGATCGTTGATATCTAGGTGAAGACATTAAACGGGAAACGGTTTGTCAGTGCTGATGACCTGCACATGTGAGGCTCATCTCAAGTTGCCCGTTTCTCACCCTGTCACCGGTTATGCTGGGGTCTAATGACACACAGGATATTCAAAGTCTTTGGGCGTCTTTGTGTGTATGTATGTATGTATGTATGTATGTGTGTATATATATATATTTATATATATATATATATATATATATATGTGTGTGTGTGTGTGTGTGTGTGTGTGTGTGTGTGTGTGTGTGTGTGTGTATGTATGTGTGTGTGTGTATATATATATGTGTATGTATATATATATATATATATATATATATGTATATATCGAACAAAACCTTGTATCTCCATTTTTCTCGTTTTTCAGTTTATGACATAATTGTAAAATGCCTGTTGCTTTTTACATTGTGTTAAAATTTCATAAAGAATAAACCAAAAGAAATGGCCCAAAATTCTGGTTCCACTGACTTACATTAAAAGTAAAGTATGTTTTTTTCCCTTCTCCTGTAAAGTTCTCATTTTGGAGATACAAGGTTTTGCTCCAACAGCACTGACATATATGCGTCCTCTTTTTGACTAATATATATAGATATATTGCTTATATCTAGTCTCCTCCTCCTCCATCCCTTAGTATTAATCTATTATACCTGTTATAGTATTAATATTTCTGCTTGAATCTAAATAGATGTCCGGTACATAAACTTCAACTCGTCCATGAATCCTATAATAATTCCTTCATTCAGTTAACTGAGCTGTTTCAGTAATTTTACATGTACGTCTTTCTTATCATTAAAACGTCACTAAATACAAAAAAAAATTAACATCCTCCTGATGCCTGGAACATAGCGCTGACCTCACTGTCTTTTTGCTTAGGTAAGATGAGACAACTTCCTCAGTTTAACTATTGTTTCAGGGACCACCAGGACTGACACAATGGCACTGTAATTGGATTATCCGGAACCGGGGGGCATCTGTTTTCCACATTACAAGACTGCTTTGCTACTTACCAGACAGCCCGTTTGATTCAATTGAGCTTTGGGGTGCTGGTTGCTACAGGCAGCACTGGTGTCCTGCTGGAATTTCAGGTCAAAGAGTATCAATCAGCCCCAACAAAACACCAATAAAAGCACTTTATTACCCTTTTAGTTTACTGGCACAATCAAGTGGCCACTGTTCTCTGTTAACAATCAGTGGCCTGATAATTGCCACCGGACTCTTTGTCATCTGTTACTGAAAACCAGTGATGGGTTTACGTGTCTGTATGTGAATGCATTCACTTGTTTAAGAGAGTCTCTTTTAAGTGACCATATGGGGGCCTAGATTCTTAGATGAAACTGGGATTTGCTCTGGTGTACGTATTTATAGTTGAAATATGGAATTGTGCTGCCTATTGAAAAATCAAGAAATTGTGCTTTTATTTGTCCTGTCAGATAGGGCTGAATGATTTGGAGAAAATATCTAATTGTGATTTCTCTGACTAATATTGTGACTTTGATTTAAATTGTGATTATTCTCTATAAATTAAGGTTCAGGCCTGTTTTTTTTTGCCAAGAAGACTGGAATATCCACTTTTTCTGTCTTGGAGCTTGGCCCTGAATATATTGTGCCAGACAGCCAGTAAGTTGTGGTTGTAATGTCACAACACATGGAAGTTTGGTTGCCTCTAATTGGTCTAACTTACCTATGGGCAGTTCACAAACTTATTATTATTGTGTGTGTTATTGTGTGTTATCAGGTTGATTTTCCCCTCTTAAAAAGTTGTAAATGTAGATTATACTTAATAAATGGAGCTCTTGCATCTTCAATATAAAATTATTAACCTTTCAGCCATACTGAGAAATTGGAATGATTTGAATGTGATTTCACAATCTGTGACTGATACAGTAGCTAAAGTTTGATGCTATGGTCTGGAAATGCTTAACCTGTAGGTTTATGCCTAACCAGTGGTTTGCCAAAAAAACTAGTGTGGATGGACAGTAGAATGGGCAGTAGAGTGGAATTTGGTCAAACGCAATCATTATAGAACCAGCACGTCAACACTCAAGTCAGACAACATTAAAAACACAGGCTAGCCAAAATTGCTATCCAGTCCTTTTCACATGAAACCAAATGCTAAGTAGAAGGTAAATCAAGACTTAAAGCTCCTTCATTGTTGCTACTGTTGTTTGTGTTTACTGTTAACACTAGTGTTTCACGAGAAAACGTGACCACCACACAAAAAGAACCGCCTAATCTCACACTACTGTTGTGCAATGGGAAATGGACACAGGTACTAAACCAGGGTACAGATAGTTGTGGTTTTGGATTAGTAACCATACTGGGCCGTAACATACTGCTAGGGCTGAACAACATCTTATTGTGATTTTATGACGAATATTGTGGCTGCGATTTAAATAGTTATTATTTGCTATAAATTAAGGCCTGTATTTTTGTCAAAGAACCCCAGCTTTTCATTTTTTTCTGGCTTAAGGCTTCAACACTGAATGTGTAGCACCAGTGTAGTTGTGGTTGTGTTGTCATGTATGCAGAACATGGGTGTTTTAGTTGCTTCGTAATGGTCTGACTCATATACAGGCTGTTTACATGATCTGTGTTATTGGGTGAAATTTCCCCAGTTAAAATGTGTTGTTGATAATGTAGGCTATAATTAAAGTTGCAGCTTCACAATTTGAAAATTGTGTGATTTTCAGCCCAATAGAAAAACACTTTAGGGCCAGAGGAATTCAGCAGTCTGCCTTTCAGTAGTGAAAGTGGCTGGAGTGACTCCAGTCAAAACCTCAGCTGTTTTACTCACCCTGCACTGCTATGAAGTGCTTTTAGCAGAAGTGCTCTTGCCGGTGGTTATGATTAGTTGTCGGACCTTTCTAGGCCTGCCATATGAGGCCACTGGTTGGGCAATACAGTTTTGCCATCATGGTACATTACGTCAGAATGAGCATATCATTGGTATTGACTAGATCGGAGGTCAGCCCATTATTCTGTTAACTTATGTAAATAATTTCTCTGATTTTTCCTCTTACGTCTTTTATTTTTTGCAAAATCTTTTCGAAATCACTGTATAACAAGACTCAGCAAAGCCTTCGAGACACTGAAGTGTTTCAGAAAGCATCAGCGCTGAGAGTTGCTGATCAGCTGCTCTGCTAACATTTATCTCACTGGCCGTTTGAAGTTGCATGCAGTTTGTCTGCTGGTGTCTGGCGTCACCATTGTGACCATCAGCGGCTATTTTAGTTAGCGATCTCTCCCAGGATAGAGAGCTGCAAGTGCTCACTGACTTCATCCGATGGTATGCTGCTGCTGGGGGCCCGCATGGCCTGGATTCCTGCGGCCATATACAGCTTAGTGCCGGGATGTTGTGACAAACACTTTTTCTATTTTATCATCCGCCACCTTGACTTCTTTTGGGGCTCCACATTTCCAGCGTGTTATGTAATGCTATAATATAGTTTAACTGTGTGGGTCATTTCAGTCAGCCACATGATATATTTTTTTTTAAGTAAGCACTGAAGTCATATTGTGCATGATGTTTGCTGAATATGAGCTCATGTTGAGGGTAATTTAAAGGCTGGGAGATTACCAAAGCTCATTTATATCTGTTTCGTGAGCTGCTTGTCAGCCTCATATGGTTTGAATCACAATAAGTCGAATGACTTAGGATTAGAAGGTTCTACAGTCATTGTGGTAACCTCAGCTGAAAAAAATAGCTTGTAAATCTGAAGTGACATTTACATGGCTGATTTCTTCTGTCCTGTAACAGTTCTGGACTTCATTATTACTCGGGGCCATGAAGGAGGCGAGCGACAGTACAATGATAGACAAAGTCAAGTGTCGAATGGTAGTGTGTACTGTATGTTTAAGAGGCATGGTCCAACACAAACATGCTGGCACATATGGAAAACAGACAGCTTTCTGCATTCGTTTGCTCTGCAATGAGGTGTGACTGAGGTTTAGATTGAGGTCAGTGAGGTTAACGGCCTCAGACTTGCCCTGGGTTGTGACTGTGCATGCATTTTGAAATCCATAGATCTACACTGCCATTTAAAAGTTTGCAATCACTGCTCAAAAGTTTGGAAAAAGTTTTTTGCAGATACAAGATTAGAAAGATTGTAGTATATTTCAAATAATTAATAGGAAGTTGTAAAAATGAAAGAAATCTTCCAAATTTTGTCAACTAAACGTGAACAAAAGTCATTCAGACTGGTTTAATGTGAAACTGTAGAGAAACTTACTGT